AGCCAGGAAGACACCAGATTGGGGAGGGCTACCTCGGGAAGAAAATAGATGCAGTCAAACCTGGTGCCTTGAGGAGAGCTTTGTGAATACCCCGGATCAACACAAAGACAAACAAATGGGTCCTAGATCAAATCAAGCCAGACCTTTCCCGAGAAGCAGAAAGGCCAAAACTGAGTCTGCCGTATTTTGAACACATCATAGGAAGGCAAAACTCCCTGGAGAAGGCAATCCATGTTAGAGAAAGTCGAAGGCAGAAAACGAAAGGGAAGACCAAAGGTGAGATAGCTTGAATCCATAAAGGAAGCCACAGTCTTGAACTGAAAGAATTGAAGGGGGCTGTCAATGGACGAGACATTTTAGAGGGCTTTCCTTCATGGGGTCGCCCTAAGACGGAAGCGCGTAACCACCACCTTAGACACTACGCACATTGACCCGGGGAGCGCAGCGGGAGCGGGAGGCATTTGCTGCTCCATCTCGGACAGAAAAATGAATGGGGCCGGTCATTCGAGGAGCTGGCTCGAGACTGCACGGGACTCCCGCGCACCTGCTCGCCTGCTAATCTGCCCAGCTTCCTTGCAGAAGAGACGAGGAGGAGGTCCAGGGCTCGCCTCTTGCTAGCCAAGGGCCCGCACGCACGCACGGCACCAGGGTGGACGCGCCCCTTCTGCAGAAGCAGACCGCGAACAAGCCCCCCCCCCCGCTTCTTCGCTAAGGGGCTTCCCTCGCACACGGGACACTTTGCAAAGGCACTTACTTATCCATCTCCGCGACAAATGGCGGTGGCGGGGCTGGCAGATCCGGCCCACTGGCCACCACCGCCGGGTTGTTACTTGAGACTTCCCGCTCTCCGGAAGCTCGTCACGTCACCCGGAAGTGATGACAAGAGCCAGGCATGAAGGGAAAAGGGAGGGTTTCGCTTGAACGGGTGGTGTGGAAGGCAAGACTCCGAACGGAGGATTGCAAGTGTGTCAAATCCTAGACTCACGCGTTGGACAGCTCTTCTCTGGGTTGTAGACTAGCACTATGCATATAGCAGAGGCGGGCAACGCGATTTTTTGTGTTTTGGCTTACATCTCCTATCGTTTCTCTCCATTAGCTGTGCTAGCTGAATTTGTTGAGAGTTGTAGGCGAAAATGTCTGGAGGGTCGGAAATTACTCAACCCGGACACAGAGCTAAGAAAAGAACGCTACAGCTTCGGACGCTCTACGCGAGGGAAAGCTCCGCTCCTCAGCGGGACGGCAAATTTGTGTCCTACCTCTGTGTCTCAGCAGCTGTGATAGAAAGTTAGAGATGCCTGTTTGATCTGGGAATCAGCAGCTGGTGCCTCAAGAATCCAGCAAAAGCCACGGAAAGGGGGATTAAAATAATTTTAGGTGTTTTAAAAATATAGAGCGTTCTCAAGTTACTTCATATTTTCCAGTCTACCACGGAGAAACCACGGATTGTTAGCCTGGATGTTTTTGCCCGGAATCCACATAAGCGTGCCTGAATAACTACAAACTCCCTAAAAAGATGGAGTTAGGAGCAAAAGACGTTTAAGTATAGCTATGGAGGCTTAGCCTCAGATGCCTTGGCCTTGTCTTCGAAAGGGATTTTCTACGTACCTTTCAACTGAGGATTTCATTAGTGCAGGGGTGAGCAACTTGAGACCCTGCAAATGTTCTACCTTAAAACTTCCATCATTCTTCAAAGATGGCTATGCTGCTTGGGGCTAATGGGAGTTGTGGACTTCCAATTGTTTTGACCTCTGAATTGCCTATTCCAGTAGGGGCGGCGTTTTTTGATTGCCTAGTCACAGGTTTTGGAAAACCTGGCATTTGTGCAAATGTTAAAAAGCATTATTAGGCCTGTTAACCTTAGCTGAGTACCTCCTTCCCTCTTCTTTGAACAAAATCAGGAAATTGAGGAAAGGTTTGTTCTAATTAGCAGCACTGAAGTAGTATTTACAGTGTATGCATCCCAAATACTGACCCTTTGTAAACAAGGTGGAGGAATTGTTCTCTCTTGCAGAACATATGGTTAGCAAGAGGTTGTGCTGTCACTCACAAGGATTGTGAAATAGCAAGCTTAAAGGGCTTATATTTGGTTTGTACTGAAGATTCTATTAAAACTAGTATTTATATTAACAATTGTTTGTGCATTAGCTGGGGAAGCCCAGCCATTACCCAGGCTCCATTTACCTCCAAAAGAAGCTTCCACAATGGACTTCAGTGGTGTTTGCTTCTAAAGACAAGTTCATAAACTTTCGCTGGTGTAAAATACAAGTGGCTGTTGGCAGTCTCCAGAAAATTTGAGCACAAGTTGACTCTTTGTCACTGTTAGCTACACTTAACTGCTGGTGTATTTCCAGGTCCAATTTAAAGTACCTTTAATGCTTGTAACATCAACCTGAACTATCATTTGAAAAGCTACCTCGTGGTTCTGCTCATCATTAAAATTGGCTTGTACTAGACAGGACTACCTCAGCAGTGGCCCCAAACCTTTAGAATTTGTGCTCAATTCATACATTGGTCCTTCAATTTTGAATTGTAAGTAGACCTTGAAACCTTCCTCTTTGAGACTAATTCACAAGCCACTTTTGGAAATTTGTTCTGATGCAGTCACCTATGATTTGTATCTTTTCATACAAATCCAGTTCTTTTTTGAATGCAAAAGATTGCCCACGAAGCAGGAATGGTAGATGCCTGGCTCAGCAGTAAGAATTCTCATCCTATGATGTACCTCTAAACACTGACAGCAACTTCTGCCAGTGCTTGACATTTTAAAATCTAAAAGTAACCTTTAAGCTTGGTACAGCGGTAGTTTCTACTGCAGCACAAGTGGAAATATATTGATTGATGTATCTGCCGATCGTGGATAAAACAGAAAATCTGAAGCCAGCAAAGGAAACAGTATGCTATAAAAGACAGGTGGCTAGTTCTAATTCACAAGGAACCTGTGAATTTGGATAAACAGAATACAAAAGTATGTTTACATTAGCATTTAAAAAATGAACCTGTTATATTTTCTAACCTGGATGCTTTTACCTCTAAAGACTGTGCAGTGGGGGGTGAAGAGAGGATGGTAGACTTTTTTAATGTTTAATATTTGCATATTTAAGCTGGGTTTTTAAAGTGTGAAACTCATGCAACACTTAAGATGCACTTTTGAAAACCCCCAGTAGAATTATTCTTTGCTAGAAATGTGTCTTCTGCCTTAAGGTAGGAAGTATGTGCTTACCCATGGTTGTCTTACATATTGCAGCTCAAACTATTCTACAAAAAACTCTTAAGAAACATGACAAGACACAGATCTAAAAGGCAAAAGATTATACAGGGAAGTGCAATCAAGAGTATGACCCACACCACACCATTGTTTGGCATGATACTTCATAATATATAAAAAGATCTTTTAGAAAAATATTTTGGCTTTTTTCCAGGGTTGCAGAACCAAAACTAATATATGGCAATGAGTCCTTGCCATCCAAACATAGCTGAACCACCTCCACTTCTGTTGATTCCTTCCCATGAGATGTATCTAATCCAGGCATGATGAAAAGAAATCCATTTGCTTCAAATATGCAAAACTCCTCCAAACCCTATTCCATTGCACAAGACAGGACCAGAACTGGAAAGGGCTGTCTATCATGAAGGACAGATTACACAAGGATTTTTAAATATTCCTGCCTAATACAGCATCTGGGAGTAGTCTACATGAAGATACTGTCCTCATTTATAATACAATTTAGATAACTGTGACATACTAATATTCTGTCTAGGCAGCTACAGAAAACTAGTGTTGGTTGTAGACCACAATTATTTTAGATGCTGAACCAAGTTATATGTTGCAAACGAACTATTGCATTTGTTCATTTTAAGTTTCATTTAATTAAACCAGTCTTTAGATGCAGGCATGATAGTTACCAAGTCCAAATTGCAGAGTAAAAATGAACTTTCTCACCATAGGTACATCTTCAGCTTATCCAGGTTTCCAATAATTTCAAGGAGCATACCCTGCTTATACAAATCAGGGGAGAGGGTGTCTGATCTCACCAGTAAAATATCTACACTCACTTCAGATCTCCCACATCAATAAAGATTAGTTCAGTGTTGTTTAGATCTAGTTCTCAAAGCTAAACAAGGTACACGTGATCATCCAATTCATAAGTGGCTGCCTGTGTTACCTATGTCACGATTCTATCCAAATATGGAAGGCTGACCACTGGAAGTTTTGCTGAGCAATCTGCATGCAGCTGGTTCCTTGAGACAGAAGAAAAAAAAATCCACACAGTGTTTCCATAGCATTCTGAAAGATATCCTGCAAACAGTAGTTCCAGATTATTGTGACTGGCCTTCAGTAGCCAAGATAAAACATTGACTCAACTTGTAGCTGGGTAACTTGCAAATCACATCATCCATATTTGTGAATTAGAAAGGAACTAGTTTCAACTGACCACATGTTACTTCATGATTGGTTAATAAATAACTCTTCTGGCTCAGTTCACTCTCATTTTTGGCAAAGCTAAATAGCCTTTCAAGTTCATCTAACTCCAATTCTATACAATGGAGAAAAAACAGACTTTGTAGGCTCTCTTTGAAAATGCACAACTGAAATTAAGTTTAAACAATCTAGAAATAATCTTGTAATCTAGTCCATATAGGCAGCTGATGTCTTTTGAAGTCAAAGTATTTGTAAACTTAACGTTTTAGGTTTTGAGTATTTTAGGCATACTCTTCTAAATGTTGAAGGCAAAGTCAGAAGAACTTACATTTCTTCAAATAGGTTCTCTGCAGTGGAGGCTCACCCAACCATTGCAAGTTGCTATTGACACCAGTAAGTTCATGGCACATTATTGCTTCAGAGCACAGTCATGATTATCTAATGGTATTAGATATAATCGGGCTCACATGTACAAGTTGGACGAATCACGGTTCCTTGTGGTGCTAAATTCAACTTGTCTAAGGAACATTTTTAACACCTTATTACTGACATCATTACACAAAACATTCATTTCAGGTAGTTGTAATGCAAGCCCTTGCATGGCAATCCAAATTTATTGAACTACTGATGCTAAGTCATACAAAATTGCACCACTTTTAATTAAGGCTTTTAAGTTTACATTTGGCCACCTCAAAGCAGTTGTAACATTAGGTTGGTCAATTTAAATACTGTGGCTCCCTGTTGGATTTTACACGCAATCTTTACACCCAAACGTTAATGCATACAAAGCAACAAGGCATTGTTAAATAAATCAGCAAAAATGTAATTACTGGAACTTAGGCCCTGGGACCAATTACACATGATTAAAATTACTTCCCACATTCACATCCACAGTACTCGTCCACCATTTAACATCTCAACCAAAACGTTACACATGTAAAACAATCACTAACAGGCAAAAGTACTAAACCTGTATATTTGGTATTGCAAATACACTTATGCATGAGCAAGCAAGGAAATTCACAGTGAGAATCTACAGCTGCAGAAGCTCAAAAATGATTTACAAAAAATTGTTAAATCATTAAAAAATTGTTTTAAAATATACACTTCTTGTTGTAGACCCCCACTGTACACACAACTATAAACATTGTTCCCTATGTAAACAAGGAAAAGGAAACATACAATAAAAGGTTGAAAAATCTGGACATTTCCTTCCCAACAGATATTAAAGGCAATGTCTTCAGGCAGACATTATACTGAAAGGACTCATTTTAAAGACTAGATCACTGTCTCCACAGGTTTTTATCCTAAAATTAAAAAACTATATAGCTGTTGTGTTAATCAAAGCGCTTTTGTACAATACAATGATGATCCTGTATTTCTTTTAAAAAAGTTACAATAAGCTACAAATACCGATGAAGCAAAGTTATCTGGAGTAGTCTATATAGGAGCTCTTTGGACTTTCTTTTATTATGCTAAAATAGTGGTGCTTTTAGGATTTACATTATTGTACTCTCCAATAGGAAGTATGGGGTTTGTTGCAGTATACAGTACAGTTATCATACATGTACAACATTGGTGGATGAACAATGTCTCTTATCAGTAATACTGGATGTAGGCTCTGGTTTTACCAGTTGCATACACTTAATTTATAAGTAAAAATCTCTCGTGACACTGAAAAGTGATTAGAATGTGCAAACTGATGTAGTAGCTGTCATCCATTTCGTAAGGGTACCACCACAGGAAAGTCCATTTAAGATGTTGGTAGGTTTAATAAAGTTGGAATGCTGGCACTGTTGTAGTCAGCAACAGTTCTTCAGACCTAAAACCATGAAAAGCAGAGATGATAACTCAGATGGTATCTAAACAATGAAGGGGAATTCTTGTTTTAAAGAAAAATAGGTTTCATACAGTCTGTTGTAGGTTGCTTTAGGATTCTCAGCCTTGTGAATTTTATGTTTGTGCAAAACTAGTTACATAGTGGTCTTAGAATAAGCTTGATTCAAATCATTAGGATCAACTTCAGAGTAAACTACTCATTCCAGGCCACAGGCTTTGTAGATTTAAATATGCACACACCTTTGTCTCCCTTACTTCTACCCAAAGAAACATTGAAATCAGGATTTACAGATGCTGACACAACAAATATGGTATAGTGATTAGAAAGTAAGATTGGGACTCAAGAGACCCAGATTTTCAGTTCCTGCTTGGCCAAGAAACTCACTCTTCAAGTCACAGGCTTGCTTTGAGGAAAAAAATAGAGAGGAAGAGGAGGAGGATCGTTATGTAAGCTGCCTTAGGCTCCTTGGACTTAGACCAAAACAAGATGGGATGGAATTGGAAGAGAAGTGACACACAGGATGGGAGCTACAAGCATAAGGTTACTGATCAAGGACTGGAACTGATAAAAGGCGCACGGTTCTGAGTTGTGTGGCAGCAAAGAATATTGGTTAAAATGCCAAGCTGCTGAACTTTTATGTAGACAGTTTACTTTAAAAACCTGCTATTTAGATTACTGATAGTCAACTGTGTACTGCATTGTGCAAAGGTCACCCATAATTTCAAAAACAGAACTCATCTATTTGAAAACCAATCCGCACATACCTGCCATTGTGGGGGTGATGAGATACCACCACCCCTTTTCAAAGCTTTTTAAAATCAGTACTGTTGTTGCTATATTATTTCCTCATATTAGGATGTCAAAACGGTCATTGTTCTTATACATGCTACCTGGTTTGCTTATATGTGATTTGCTAAAAATTGCACAGGTAATTTTTGCTGATGCTTCTTCAGTAATGGATGCAAAGTCTCTGCTAATACATCCTAAAACAATGCTTACCTATCATCAGGTAATGTGTAATACCATTATAAGCTTAAGTTTCTCATCTTTTGCATTATGTTATCCTATTTTAAAATTTGTTTTCATTTCATCTTCTTGCTCTCCGCCAGTTACTGAAGTCCAATGAGAGGCCTGAATTCCATCTACTACAAGTGGAGTTCTGCTCTTGGAAACAGACTTTTCTGTTTCCTACTTGCCACAGCTACTGAAAAGTTGTTCTTGAGTGTCCAGCACCTCAGCCAAGACAGATTTGAGGAGATCAGTTGGTCAGTAGTTTAAAAATGCACCACCATTGTACATAACTTTAATAAAAATTAGTTTACTTTCAATGTTACCTGGCTCAGTGCTACAGTATACATATGTATTAAAGTAGCTGACATGATGACTTTTTGCGTGCTTTTCCAGGCACAGGAGTTTTTCTGTTAATTTGCCGCACAAGGTCATAAAAGATCTGTGAAAACAGAATTTATAGCCCATGTTTTGAAAATATTTCGTCAAATGTTTTAAAAATATGAACATTTAACTATTAGAGCATATATTTGATAACTCAAATCATGGAACCTTGACTGGACTTAGTATTGCTGTCATCCTGTCTCCTGAGTTCTTAAAATTGACAGCTTATTTCCCAGTTTATTCAGACATTACTCTTTCTCCGGACTGCTCTTTTTCAAGTAGTCTTATTGAACACCTTGTCAATTATATAAATAAGTTTTTATTTCAATCAAAGGAGGCTCACACATAAAATTTGAGGTTATAATCCTTTACTCCTTCATGGAAGTAAGCCCCATTGAATACAGCAAGTCTGGCTTCCATGAAAATATGCATAGGATTGCACTGTGAACCAAATGTGTGCTTTTTCTATAAAACAGCGAAGTATGACTAAGTTTTAAAGGCACCTTTAAAAAAAAGATTGCAATGCATTTCAGCATGAATATCTGGGCATTGCTATCCTCAAAGAGGAAAATATCACAGGTAAACAAGTGATGCTCGAAGCAATTCCAACCTAAGAGATGTGCGGTCAAAAAGGAACCGAGGGACTGGGTGGGAGCCCCCTTTCCTTATAACTGGGAACTGGAAGGGGTGAGGGACCCTGCCCACTCCATGATACTAAGCTGTAGAATTTTTTTTCCCCAACCTAGGCTTGGTTTGGTGCTGAAGCCCTTGCACATGATGCACAAAGACCATGACAAAGAACTATGCTTACATCAAATCCACAAACTGTTTTTAAAAGCCAAGGAGTTTAAACAGTGTTGGACATGAAGGCTTTTCTGCAATCAACTTCTGATAAAAACTGGACTGGTCTGGATGGCATACTAAGTGCCAATGTTCCTTAGAACCTAGCATATCAGCATGCAGCAACATGCTAGTGCAGGCTGCCTGATTGCTCCCATCTGACTTCTCCTCTACCTGTGGTTTGTTTAATGGGATATCTGAACTAATTCTGGCTGGTCGATCACCCAACATAAGCCAAGAACAAATTATGGCACGTGACTCTGGCTAGTTCAAACTTGTCAAGTAAGATTCTCCAGAATGCTACTTTATCATGACATTCAAACTAGGTGATTCTCAGAAAACTTCTGATGCATGCTCAAATGTCACATTCATGCTCCTTGACTGTGGCCCAGAATCACTGTTCTAATAGTAAAGAAATTAATACTACTACCCTATTACTATGCATACACAAATGTTGCAGTTTTCTTTGAAACAAAGTCAACAAATGTTCACCCAAATCATGTTCTTTATTTAATATTTCCAGAAGGAGAATAAATATACATTCTAACCTTTAATACAGTCAGACTTCAAAAGAACAGCTGTTTTAGCCTTAAAAGCAAAATATGCCGCTATGGTAACTAAGACCAACTGGTACAGTTTAGCAAGCATTGTCAAAAGCAACTTCATCCTATGCATAATTTAGACTATTATCTATAAAATGTGTTAAAGGTTTAAAGTATGTATCATTACCTCATTAACATTTATCTTTGATTTTGCAGAAGACTCTAAGAATGCACAGTTATTCCATTGCCTTGCTAAGTTCTGTCCTTGTTCTTTTCCCACAACTCTTTCATCTTCCAAATCGCACTTGTTGCCAACCAGAATCATTGGTACCTACAATGATAAACATTCATTATATACATAAAGATTTTATATGTACATGTATGTACACTGAATGACTTTAGTTGTGAGGAGTTAGCATATCATTTCTGCTGTTAGTCACATTAAGTTTTAAATTTGAATGCCAAAGCAGCAAGTTAATTCTTACTGGTACCCAACAAGAAGAGAAGGAAAACATCTGAAATACCTCAAATCATTAAAGAATCACGATTTGAGAATTAAACCACTATTGCAGAATGGCTTTTATTTGGAGTTCTGTAGTTATAATAAGGATCTTTATCAAACACTGGATAAAACAGTGACAAAATGTTTGGAATTGATACTTCATGTCAAAGGCAACAAGATGGGTGGCAGGTGAAGGACATTATTCTGCATGCAAAAGGAGCCCCCCCCCCCATCTAGTAAGAAATGGGTAATTCTTCTCTGGTTTTCTGGCAATGTCAAAGAATAAACACCTGTACTCTATCCCACATTAATCATGAGGGCCTCCAACACTCTGGACCCTTTTCAGGGGTGCAGGTGGAAGGAGGGAATGGAAAACATCCTTTCTGTGAATTTAAGGGCTTAACTCTGTATTTGTTTAAATAGACAGTCTTAAGACCCCTAACACAGCACAGCCAGCATGTACGTAAACTTCTCACAATTCAACTTGTAAGTTATCCCTGATTTGGTTCTTCACCCCTCCCAGCCATGTTTCACCATCTTTTCCATAGTCCTTTAAAAATTACTTCTTAAAGTTTATTCTTTATTATTTCAGTTCTATTTTATTCCTTGCTGAAAGCTTTGCTATTGAATTTGTACTGCTTCGGTTATCATTTATACCACAGTTGTGAAAGTGGTAACACAGCTATTTTTGTGTGCAGCTTCATCCAAAAAAGAAGCTACAAGAAGCCTATTTTCACATCAGGTATGTTACTAGGTATACAGTATATGACCCCTACTGTGTTGCAGAAGAGAACAGCTGGTTATAGGGAAGCAGTAAAATGTTTTTATGAAGAAACTCCCCATTAGCCACTTCCACAGAATGCTTAGAACTGTGCTTACATCATCAGTGTCTTTGACTCGAAGAATCTGTTCTCTTAGATCCTGCAAATCATTAAATGTAGACTGTGCTGTAATGGAATATACTAAAGCAAATCCTTGACCATTTTTCATGTAGAGGTCTCTCATGGCTGTAAACTGTTCCTGTAACGAAGAAGAAAACAGACACTCAGAACAAAAACAGCCTGCCTTATCCAAGTGTGTGGACAAGTTGGTATTTTTTCTGGCCAGTTCCTTCATCTTCCAAACATGGACTGACCTCTTGTTTGGATGTGTAGAAGTGTCTATTAATATTTCTTCAGAAATACCTGATAATGTTATGTTAGGTTTTAAATATACATGAAAATCGTATCCATTTAACAAACTTCGTGGACAGTCATTTGACTATTGTTCTGTCATGTTCCCCATCTTCTGTATACATCAATTAAATATATTTCATGTTTTTGATTAAAGTATTTGTCCTCTATATCAAGAATTGATCAGTGGATAAAACGTAAGTGAAAAAAGAGTGTTCTGAGGAAAGACAGTGAAGCAGAAGACATATTTTGACAATTGATTTTGCATAGAAAAGTAGATAATTTAATATGGAACTTAATACAAGAAACAAAAAGCCTTCCGTTTCTTGACAAATACACACGTATGCGCACACACGTCTAGAGAGAAGCTAACTTTTCTATTTTTCTTTATTCCAGTTCTTGTGCTTTTCAGTAATCACACTGTTCCATACAGTCATGTACTGGTTATTCTGAAAAATAGCTTAACAATATTCACTCTAGCAATTTACTTATGGAGGTGTTGCCACTGTGCAACAAACCTTCAAACATGGTGAACGGGAGACAAAATTGTGAGATATCACATAGGTAAACACAGATCAACACAAATTAGAGCAAAACAGTATTTCTTCCATCAGTGATGAGGAGTAGAAAACTATCTACAGCTTTACTTTTCTACAGGGTTCTGAATTTTAGAAATGCATTGTTTCATAAAATATAACTTCTTAATGAAGCAATGTAATACTACTTTACTTGGCCAATCACAGTGAAACAAGTAGAAAGAAAATAATAAGTGTTATTATCTTTTTCCAGTTTTATTCCTAGGAACCACGTATTTATGCAACTTTTCTTCAAGCATATTACAATTAATATGTTATTAGTTTGCAGTGCCTTCATTCCCCCAACCCCATCCTAATCTAAACAATGTAAGGAAACAGAAGATTTCTTTTACAAGTATTAAAAATGATTTTCAAGTTTAGGATATAGAATTTAAATCAGTTTAGTGATTTTTTTCACCTAAACAATATATGGGTACTGGAAAAAAATATATTTATACATCTCATTATATTAACATAGTATACTTTTAGTTTTACTTAATAGGGTAAAATAAATATGTTTACATGTTTCTTAACTGATTTAAGTTAATAAAAATCTGGAAAAAGAACATCACATATGTGGTGGGAGTCTATCCTGGCTGGTTAACAGAACCTTGAAAATATCTTGCAATTCTAGTAGAAAATTCATTGAAAATGATGACTCACTGAACAACTACATTAACAAAAAGTCAAATTTCCAATTAGGAAAATGAAATACAGCCTTTTGAAAAAACATTAAATTTTTGCAGATTATGATGCAGTCAGATTTAGAATAAAATGGTGGATCCAGAAATTGGCCCTCTGTTTCTCTTCATTCACATGCAATCTGCTGTATGTCTGAGTGCCCAGAAGAGCTGTTCTTTATATGCAAGCCTATGTATGGTCTGTGTGTGTTTTAAGATACCTGCTTAAGTAAATCACATATTCTTTTTAACTGGCAACAAGCAAACTTCAAGATTCCACTGTAACTTTGTGTTAGCATTTAAACACTTTTATCTTCCTTTCAAACTCTTATTTATTTTATTTATTTATTAAAACATTTCTATGCCGCCCCTTGCCGAAGGCGGCTCACAACATCGAATAAACTCTTAGAAAAAACTCTTAGAACTCTTAGAAAAAACTAATTCTCCATAGCTCACAACTTCATCTTCTCATGTCCTTCTCACTCACTCACTGAAATTAGACATTCTACTTAACCAATACTTTTACCTGGATGTTTGTCAAATGCAAACAATAATTTGTTTGTCACTCAGTGAAGAACTACAGTGACCTGCTAAAAGAGGTCAGGAGAACCTGATAAAAAGCTAGTTTATTTACAAAATGAACCTATTGCTCTATAACACATTTGATTTGTAAAAGTTGGCCTACAACATTATACATACCGTTCCTGCTGTGTCTAAGATTTCAAGCATACATTGTTGTGCATCTACTTCAACTTGCTGTAGAAAGAACAGAAGCAAATTTATTCTGAAGTATAAATAATGAGACTTCAAATACTCAGTTGCCTGCTGTTATAACTTATACCCACAACGAACAAAGTTTTGTCCATGACCATATTCAAAACAGTTGGCAGGTTGGAAAAAATCTATAGTAACATGGCAAAATAGTTTGTTAATTTTGCTTGGATCAGAATTTATTTGTAGCACGAACTAAGTGCACTGGAGGAAGGAGGAACAAAAAAGCAAAGGAAAAAATAATGACAGTAGGAAAGATGTTTCCTGTTACCATTCAAAGTCATTCAAAATAAGAGAAACCCCATTTTTTACTACTAGATGCCCAAGTGTATCACTGTAACCTGCCTGTGGCTGATGGTCCTGAGAGATGCAAGGCTTCAGTCAGGCCATACGTTCTTCTAGGCCCCTTTCCTATTATTGCAGATGAGGATAAAACAAAGGCTGGTATCACTAATGCTTTACAAGCAACTGCACCACGTTGTCTCTCCCTGCCAGCTTCTTATCCCTCTGAAAAGATCCTCTCCTGTTCTTAGAACCACATTCTCCCCACTCCCCTTTCATTAACTTCTTTTCTGTCATATCTTTCTAACATTTCCAAAATTCTTGTTTTTCACTCCATTGCTCACATTCCCCCATTCCTTCACCTACCCTGCCTTTGGGTTCCATGTCTCCTTACTTGCCCACCAACCTGAAACCTTCCTACGTAGTCCACTGTGAGGCATCCCCCTCAGCTTAACTGACAGTCTCCTTCATTTTACATAAGAAGAGATCAAGCATGCTATTGCTGGTGGTTTTATTCTTTCAGGAGAACACCTATTAATATTCTACAGTATCAGATCAACTCAGTCAGTCACTGCCATAAGATTCAGTGCCCATCAAAAAACTGCAGTGCTTTGTGACAGCTACTTCTGCATGTTTTAGAGCTTAAAGCAACTACTGTTTGACACTAACTAGATTGCTAATTAATCTCCCACTCCATCCTTGTGACTGTTTTTAGGTCATTCTGCTGTGTGCACACAGTTTCTTTTTATGTTTTATTTATAATCTATCCCCATATTTCCTTTTGGAATGCTCAGAGAAGCTAACATGAAGGTCCCTGTTATCACCCATCCAATAAGTGAACAGGTTTATAGGCACTTAGCATACTTTGAAAGGATTCACTGAAAGCTGGTAACTTTTGCATAGTTGCATCATTAATAGTGCTCTGTGTTCCAAAGGGAACTTTGCATTGTTCCTGCCCAACCTTATCACTCTGCTCTTTTACTTTTTGGATTCTGGTGTCTAGGCTAGGCTCAGCTTCAAGCTAACTCAAAAAGGATATACTCTTTCTGAGAAAGAGTAGAAAAGCCTATAACCCTCCCTTATGCTGGGCTGATTTGCCACATGCTCACAGGAAAAAAATCAGAAAACTAGAAGTCTCCATGAAGAAACTTTGGGCAGTGGGCTACTGTTTTGCAAAATTCCAAATATGCTGTTCAATTATGCGTAAATGCATATTTCAGCTTAAAATAATTAACATACCTTTCTGTAGGAGTCTTCTATCGTAGGATCATATTTTTCAACAAATATTCCTTGAACAAACTGCACTGTCTACAACAAAGGACAATGTTTACATAGACATAATTTATATGCAATTTTAGGGAATTCATGTTCAGAAAAAAACATGTTATTATTAAGTTGTTGCCTATGCTTATTAGATTTTTCTCAAGAAAATTGGCTTGTCAGTTTAGATGTAAGACAGGCATTCAATAATGAACAATGTTTCTGGGAGAAACACTTTAATATTAAAGAATGAAAAGAGCTGCTAAACCTAACTGTGTTATTAGTTACATCTCTCATTACAACTGACTCAGGCAATTGCACACACACTTTTATAAACCATTGAAACCCTTTTTGTTACCACAACTGTGTTTAAGTCAGGAAAGTTAGGAGACTTCATGCAAGAGATACTAGCTAACTACTCAAATGTTTATTACATTTGTGTGGTGTTTGCTCTCTGTATCCATACATACCTGTACTGTAAGGGGGAGGGGTCAGATTATAGTCTGAATATTTTGAATCTTCCTGCAGATATAATAATACTTTAGTGTTCATGTCTCTGTCTGGTATTTTAATAATAGGAATGTTACTGGGATGGCCCTGGCAAAAAGTATTTTGTATCCACTTTTATAATGTTGCTTTATGCTGTCCATCAACTGTATTATTATCTGTACTGTAATCACTATCTATACAGTGAAACCACTAATCAAACTGAAACATCCCTTACTTTGTGAATGGTTTCCTACAAAATTAGGAAGACCACTTCCATTTATCAATTTCCGAGCATTTATTATGAAGCGTTCAAACCCCATTGTTTCAAACATTCATACAAATTGAATTCAATTCATACAAACATACAATTCATACGAAATGAATTCAAAAATTCATACAAACATTCATACAAATGGAAAAACGGAAACTGTTTTGAGTGTAAAAGAAATAACAATTCAAGACCAAGAGCTGTTTTTCAAATACCTGTTTTTAAATCAAGGTCTGAGTTCTCTTTTATATTATGATTTCGTAAATTCAATCATTTGGTGCATCATGTTTCCACATTTTATACAGAAAAGCAGGATGACTCTTCTGGAAACTCTGAAAGAGTACTGATTTGTCCAATCCTTAGTCAACATAAATTATGCTAGGAATTTGGGGTCATGCATGCTGGTTGCTTTGATGTAAGCTGTACAAATGCAGTTGTTGTTGTTTTTTTAAAATGAAGTGATTGATTAAAAAAACCAAACCAAACCAAGAGAACTTCAGATCCGTATTAGGTCTTCCAGAGATAGACAACTGGGACTTGCTGGGACCCCAGCACTTGCCTACCTATGCTGTCAGCTGGGGCACAGGAAGGATCCTCTTCATTTAGGAAATACTTATTTGATAACTACAAGTATTTCTAGATGGCCTTAGGATTGTTCAAGTTCATTTTAAGCTAGCCCCTAGGGAAACACACACACATACACACACCCCTAACATTAGGAGCTCTTCTAAAACCCCCAAAATTGCCTCTAACTTTGACTGAATTCAGAGTTGCTGCTTTCCTGGCTGACAAATACTTGCATGCTCTGAATATTCAGGTTTTACTATTTAACTGCCAAGTTGAAGTAGTTTATATATATGAGAAATTACAGTAACTATTTTTATCTTATTACTATTAGTTTTTACATGAAAATGACCAATTTTAATGCCTATGTAGATATGGATCATACAGAGGGAGATTCAAAATTGTAGCAGTATTTTAAAAGGCAATTCTTCCCTTCTAATACTTCAGTTATCTTGAGCAAGCATTATAGATATGAGGCAATGCTGAGGACATTGTACTTTTCCAAATCATAAAATCACCCAAACTTTATTATGGCATAGTAACTGTTCAGTATTTTATAGGGTCTCCATTTGATCACATCAGTGCTGTTAATTATCCAAATTCTACTTTAAGCCTTAAAACCAGAAATTTAAGTTTGACTTCATTTATCAAACCTTAAAACCACTTAAACCTCTAAGTCCAGTTCTCTGGCAGTGACCATTTTCAAATCCATCTCTTCTTCACGATACCATTTAAGTTTTCCCAGAAACAAAACCTATAGCTCCTGATTGTCTAGAAGAAATGAAGTATTTTGCAACACATGGAAGTCAGTTGAAACATCTAGACCAGTGATGGTGAACCTTTTAGAGGCCGAGTGCCCAAACCACAAACCAAATCAACTTACTTATTGCAAAGTGCCAACACTGCAATAAAACCTGAAAACTGAGGTTTGAGTTTCGAAAAAACAACTCACAGCCAGTCCAAGCAAATATATATATAACCTTGGCAGTGCACTGACTGGGCATGCGAAAGCTTGGACGAGTCGCGGCTAATGAGACGCAGCTCATGATGCAATCACCTGGCGCCAGTACTCCTTTCCAAACATGTGCATGACCCCTATGTGCACCAGTATCCGATGCTCGACTCCTGGGGCGCTGCTGGGGCAACTTGGCTTGTGTGCTGACAGAGAAGGCTCTGCATGCCCGCTGGGGCATGCGTGCCATAGGTTCACCACTGATCTAGACTATTCTCAGTGAGTCACAGATGGAATGTACTAGTTCTATGTGCTTTATGATAAAATCATGAAAGGCAGCAAAATTCTACTCACCAGTGCAGATTTTCCAACACCTCCTGAACCAAGTACTACTAGTTTATATTCACGCATGGTGTAAGTATTGTCACCACGTCACTACCTACAAGACAAAATGATGTGATATATTACAACATAATGCATTCTTCAAATTTGACCCATTATTTCCAATATGTACAGAATAGGAAGTATTCATACTTAAAATATAGCTATCTTGTTCTAAAATTAGAATTATTTCCATACCATAAACCTGAAAAATACATTCAAGGAACTTTAGCAGATTTCACTTTTCTAACCCTTTCTTTTGGTCATTTAATTAATCCACACATTTCTATGCATACTCATATACAGCCAACATTTACAACACACTCAGTAAGTTCACACGATCTCACTTTAATCCATTAATCATATAAATACAGGGTTAAAACATTTAAAAATTCAGTAAAGTCAAAAGAAACAATTTATACCCATTAAGAAATATGATGTTACTCCAGAAGATAAGCTAGTTCAAGTTTTCCATAGTCCAGGTAAATAACCATATATAATGGCAGGTACCCAAGCATCAAATAACAGTACTCTTTCAACAAGAAATTATTGGTGGTGCAGGTCCTTCATTATTGTGGTGTCCTCCTTATGTCAATTTCCTGGCTCACAGAGACCCATCTGTATGGCTGCACTTTGAAGAGGTTGATAATATTCTTTTCTTGCTAATAGGAGTATTTCATAATGGCAACTCTTGGCTGGTGGATGGAATATACATTTTAGGAGGGAAGAAGTGGAAAGTAAATGAAGCAAGTAATATAGCTAGTATTCAGTACTGGTATTTTTTACTACAAAGTCAGTGGCAGCTGACATAATAGTCAGTGTACTTTGAAATCTCACTGTATCCATATACCCTTACAATTTGGGATGAGAAAGGGGTCTTTTTCTTTGTGTATATTATATTCTACTTTCAACTGTGAAAATCCTTCCACGAAAGGATTAAACCTATCCAGACCCTCACCTCCAGTGAAGAAACATTAGGTTAATGTGCCCGAATGTATGCACATGTACAATCTAAGAGAGTTCCTAGACAGATGTGTATGTAGAATTCATACTAATCATCATTGTCTCTCATGGGATGTCAAATAATTTTTTTACGCATAGTCAATGAAGAACTATTATGATTAAATCACATTTCATTTCATTCTTCTAGATCAGTAGGTCTAGATCAATGAACAAATGGTCTGGTCTTTATTTGGAACAAACTAAATAGTGTAACAAAACAGACATTAAATATGATTATAGCATATTGTATTTTATTTGAATCATGAACACCAAAATTTATATACATTTGAAAATTTAAATACCGAAAGGTCATTTCTATACAAACATCCACTAGCTATGCAAAACTTCAACTGAACATAGCTGTTTAAGTAGGCAACAGACATAGATCTAGACTGCAAAACATGAAAACTCCATTGTTAGCCTTGTTTCAGTATGTCCACATGTCATGCCAACTTACGCTGGCAATAAACTATGCTAGACTGGTTGGTGGAAAAATAACACAGGGCATGTCCAACAGACGATCAGGTTCACTGTGGGTTGTTGGCCCCTTCCTTTCCCTTCCCTTCAGCTCTCCCACAGGTATCTCAGGGGCACAACATTAGGACCAATTTGTCTCCCCAGACCTACTGCAATCACTACAGCTTTTTCCTTCTTTTTTCCAGAAATTGTGGAAGCCAGTGATCCGAATCTGTTTTGCTCACCACTGACAAAGTTCAGACTACCCAAGTGACACTTTGGAGGGTATGTCAGAGGTTGGCAGATTTTTAAAATGTTGCTCTGAGCACAAAATGTGTGCAAAAGCATGCAGTATTTTTTTAAAAAAAGCTTCATTTGAGCAACTGTGCATTTTCTTCCTCCTTTGGTTTCACACACCTCTTCACAAAAACAAGAGGTGTTTGATCTTTGCTTGCAAAAGGGTGTGTTGATTTACACCCACTTTGTGGCAAGATTCTCCTCTTTTTTCCTGCTCTGGTAATCTACAAGCTGCTGTACATTTTGCAATTTCCCCCCAAGACTCTAGTGCTCAGGAAGGTGTAAAACTGCACTCCTTTTTTTCTCCAAAAGGAGGTCTGAAATATTAGACAGTTAGCTGTCAAAACTCTAGGTTTCTTTTAAAAGGAGATTGTGACATAACAGATTATGGGATGGCAGTGTGTCAGGGAATATACAGCCATATGACCCTGACAAAAAACACCCTTTGTTCTGTGAGAAAGCTAACTGTCAACCCTTATGAGAAAGTGCGAAGAGTGCAATTTGCACTTTCTCAAGCTTCATTTTGAAAAAAAAAAAAAATATACAGAAATGGAAGCTGTTTCACTTTGGAAGCAGGTATCCTTTAGGATATTTCCCCAACTGAGGTTTTAAATTTCCACAGCTCTGCAAGTGCAAGTAACCCCCCCACCCACACAATACAAATGTTTTACACACATTTTGTGCACAAAAATGCTTTGAAAATGTGACAGCACCTCCAAGATTCCATTTGGAAACTTTAAATACACCTTCAGTGGTTGTCAAACTGGTTTTTGTGATCTCTGGGTTAGGGAAAGAAAGTGAAAAAATGCAGTGGTAACCCTAAAGCAATGCTGTTTCCTCCCCAAGTGCCCCTTGGGCACTTTTTAGGCAGCACACAAGAGGAGTGGCCCAGAAGATGCTTTGCAAGCACAGCAAAAGGTTTTAGTTGCTCTTCCTCCAGGAGTCCTGTACCCACAATGGGATCAGTCACTCAGATGTGGATGACACAATAACCCTCTGTGGGTACAAGCCCTAGAACAAACTATAAGTTGTTTAAGGGCAACAGCCACCCTAACAAGTCATCCAACATCATTTGTTACAACCCATGGAGAGTTCCTTGTGTCATGAGACCCTAGTCAGTGTTTCAGGCTGATTTATCATTATGCCTAAACCTGGCACTAATTCCTCCATGTGGTTTGTCAACCATGTACAAGTTGACAAACCACATGGAGGAAACACATGGTTCATTATTACACTGTCCAAGGTGGTTTATTTTCAGAGTGCTGTGTTGCGATGTATGAACCCAGTATGAAGGCCTGTGTGCAGCTAACCCAAGAAAGACTACAGAGCTGACTGGCAAAAGTGGTGAAAAAGCTGGTCACTTTTCATGATCATACTAACTAGACAGTTTACTACTCTACTTTGTTACCTAGACAACAATACTTTTTTCACCTTTGGGAAGATTTGCAATACTTTTTTCCACTGAAAATACATATAAATTGTGTTTTCCCTTACAATGAGGAGATTTGTGCAAACTGAATTTTTTCCTTTTCAGGGTAATTTGTGTAATTTGCTTATTTAAAAAAAGAAAATTATTGCATAGATTGAACTTAAAACACTTTCCATTTTCATCTAACTGCCACTATGGTAGCAAGAATAGTTTGCATGATAACTGTGGCTTAAGTAAGCCATGGGAACTTTCTGAAACCACAGCACATGCCAGACTCCATTTACAGAATTCCCTACCCATTTGCAGCTGATCATGTCATCCCAACCCAGTCATATGTGAGAGGAAAACAATCTTCAAATAACCCAAAGTGTGTTGTAGGGTTATTTGAGGGCTGTTTTCCCTCAAGCAAAGTCATGCTGTCCAAGTTCAAATAACGCAAGTCATGCCTGGGCAGGTAATGAAGCGAAAGGTGATTAGCATGTGTCAATTTTAAACAAGCCACCACAGCTTAAGTCACAGTGATCATGTAAACGAGGTCACTGTGATCAGTAAGGTAAGCAGTTTATTAACTGTCCAAATTGCCAACACACTGCATAAGCAGAACTTTTTAGAATTTTCTGCCAAAAATGTATAATAGTCCCAACATATCTGGTCTAATACCAGGTATTAGGAATTTACAATTTCATATGAATTACATATATATTATCTTGTCTAACTTGAATAACAAGATAGGTTTTGCTGCTGCTGTAAACACAGTATTTTTGCAGCAGAAGCATGGGTCTGAAAAAGGATGAGCAGATGAAACGTTAGGGAGTACATTCACTACCCTACAATCCTGTGTGGTCCACTCATTTCCCCCCACCTGAAATGGGCATGTCAAAAGCCCCATTCTGACTAGAAACAAACCTTGTGCTCTGTATATACCTTCTTTCCCAAGAAGAATTGTTGGGACATTGGGGGTGGCAGCAGTGACAGCAGCAATGGCTTGGAAGCTTACTCTTGCGGCTTATGTTTTGCGCACCCCTATGTAAGGCATTCCCAGTACTACTTCTCTGTTAAAAAAAGATCACTGCAAAACAGCTGGGGGGAGGGTGGAACAGAAGCAACTGGACATCTGAAAATTGGAGTTGCCTGTAATAAATAGTTACAGCCTGAGCAAACAGAAATCCAAGCAAGCAGAAGAATGCTTTCAAATAACTTATACAGCTAGGAGCTACTTCACACAACACAGTAATAACATATGCTTGATACTAAACTACAAAGAACCACAGAGCTCTCCACCCAGCTTCATATGGCATGGGGTGAGAAACAGGTAAAAAGCTGGCTGAGTCTGCATATCACATAAATGAAATGGGAGTACGGTAAAATAGATTGAGTCACTTCTGTTTAGTTTGTGGAGAAGAAAAATGCTTCTTGTTCCCATGTAAACTTCAAATGGAAAATTAACACATCTACCCCCAAACCTATTTTCTTTAGCTGCTGACTGTAACAATGGGGACTGACTAATACTAGTGGTGAATACTGCTTTATAGCAAGTTGTGATTCTGTTCTGTCTTAAAAAGGGAGTGGGACCTTTTCCAAAATAAAAATAAACCTCCTGAACCCCGTTATACTGGATAACTTCCAGCCAGTCTCCAATATTCCATTCTTGGGTGTGGTGCTGAGCACAGTGCTTGATCGTGTGGTGGCTTCCCAACTTCAGGGATTTCTGAATGAAGTGGATTATCTAGGTACATTTCAATCTAGTTTCCATCCCAGTGATGAAACAGACTCATAGAATAGTAGAGTTGGAAGGGGCCAAGAAGGCCATTGGGTCCAACCCTCTGCTGTTGCAGGTCACCAATTTACACCATCCCACTCAGAGATTGCTTTGT